GCTGTGTGTGGTGTCTACACTTGGGTAGAAGCTACAGGTCTCTGCTGTGTGTGGTGTCTACACTTGTTTGGAAGCTGCAGGTTTCTGCTGCGTGTGGTGTCTACACTTGTTTGGAAGCTGCAGGTCTCTGCTGTATGTGGTGTTTACACTTGTTTGGAAGCTGCAGGTCTCTGCTGTGTGTGGTGTCTACACTTGGGTAGAAGCTCCAGGTCTCTGCTGTGTGTGGTGTCTACACTTGTTTGGAATCTGCAGGTCTCTGCTGTGTGTGGTGTCTACACTTGGGTAGAAGCTCCAGGTCTCTGGTGTCTACACTTGGTGGAAGCTGCAGGTCCCTGCAGAAGTTGTAGTGCTTCTCATGCGCTTTTTACCCGGTGACCACAGGACATGCCTAGAGCGGAGGCTCTGCGTTTTGCTTTGTGAGCTTGGAGTGTTCCTGCCTTCTGCATATGTTGGTGGGAACAGGGCCAGATGCTGAGCCTGAATGGGCCCGTGGTCTCTATGGACTTTTTGGGCAGGGAGGACGGCGGACAGTGGCTCCCATGGCAGGGAACAGTTCTGTGTGGCTGCTGTCCAGGCATGAGGCCAGTGGTGCCCTGCTCTGTGTGACCTGAGGGCAGAAACCCTTCTGGGCAGCAGAGTGTGATGGTGACCACGCAGACTGTTGTGTCCTGTGTACCTGCTTTTCCCTGCACCTCCACCCTCCCTTCTACCTTGCCTGCCCTCTGGAGCCTGCTGCCTTTCTTCCTATCCACACCTCTTCTACCAAGCAGCCCAGCCTTTCTGCAGAGCAGCTGGGCACTGCCCACCCCCACCCCATGCCCACTTCCACTCCTGGCACTGTTTTTCCGGAACCGTCTGTTCCACACTGTCATATGCTTGGGTCTCCCGGAGCATCCTGTGAGATGCCAGCTGGTGACATGATTCTGTGCTCAGGGTCCTGAAGGGCCTCCCCCTACCCTTTCCTGATATTCTCCGCTGTGATTCTCCCGTGCCAGATCCCATCTGCAGGGCACTGGCCCCTCTTCTTTGAGGTCTGGACTACAAATCCTCCTTCTTAAGAGGCCTTTGACCTCTTCTAAACTTACTGCCAGTTGTCTGCAGTTTTCTCACTCCTGGACCCTGACCACGCTGAATCCCAGTCATCTGGCCCAGGGCCAGACCCTCGCCCTGGACACAGCTGAAGGCCCCTGCAGCACTGAAGTGGCCCCTCTTCACGCTCCAGCCGTGAGTGCAAACACACAGGTCCTGAACAGATTCTACATTTCTGAAAGTCATCCATAGACGTTTCTCTACGGTTTCACGTATAGCAAATTTTATACTTAACTAACGTCTGTTTCACACATATAACAGAAGTGAGGCCAGTAAGAAGAGGCCATTAGATGCTGTTCTTCACTTGTTTCCAGCAGACAGACTTCCTGACATGATCCTTTTTTAATTTTTTCTGAGATGGAGTCTCACTCTGTTGCCCAGGCTGGAGTGCAGTGGTGTGATCTCTGCTCATTGCTACCTCCACCTCCCAGGTGCAAACGATTCTCCTGCCTCAGCCTCCAAGTAGCTGGGACTACACACACCAGACACCACCACGCCCAGCTAATTTTGTATTTACAGTAAAGACAAGGTTTCACCATGTTGACCAGGCTGGTCTTGAGCTCCTGACCTCAAATGATCTGCATACCTCAGCATCCCAAGGTGCTGGGATTACAGATGTGAGCCACGTGCTCAGCTCTGACATGATTCTTAAGTACGTGAAATTCAGGGTTATCTCCTTTGTCTTCACTCTGCAGTTCATTAAAGGAGTAAGCAAACTTTCTAGGGGACAGGTAGCAAGCACCAGAGCCTTTGCAGGCCACAGTGTTCCCATCCCAGCCGGTCATGGTGTTGTCAGATGGAAGCGGATGTAGATGGGATGTAGACAGTGGGCGTGGCTGTGCACCAGTAAAGCTTTATTTATAAACAGGTGTCATGTTTGATTCGTCGCTCACACCTGTAATCCCAGCACTTTGGGAGGCCGAGGTAGATGGATCACAAGGTCAGGAGATCGAGAGCATCCATCCTGGCCAACATGATGAAACTCCGTCTCTACTAAAATCCAAAGAAGTAGCCAGGCATGGTGGCACGCACCTGGGAGGCTGAGGCAGGGGAATCGCTTGACCTGGGAGGCAGAGGTTGCAGTGAGCTGAGATCTCACCACTGCACTCTAGCCTGACAACAGAGTGAGACTCTGTCTCAAAAAAAACAAAACAAAACAAAAAAACAAAAACCATGGGTTACCAAGATGAAATAAGGAAAATAATCTAGTGAGAAAGTAGACGTCTGTTCCCCTAGACCGAAATCTGAGCATGCTGCAATCTTGCAGTCAGCCCTTCAGAACCTGGTGATATTAAAAGTTGGACCCCTGTGTTCAGGGTTTTGCATCTTGCAAACACTGTATTTTCAACCTGTTTGGTTGGGGGAAAAAATCTGCATGTAAGTGGACCTATGTGATTCAAATCCATGTTCAAAAGTCAGTGTATATATATTTAAAGCTGAGAGACTTAAAAGTTATCTGATTAAATCCAGGCCTCCTTCATCTCCCCCACAAAATATCTATTCAGAGTATTAAGATGATTGTGAGAGTGAGTTGAGTTTTTGATTCTTAGGGCTGCCAAGGGACTTTTGTGGCTTGTGCACAGCCTGTTCCAGTGTCTGCATGTCAGCTGTGTGCCCAGATCCCGATCCCCATGAACATACTATGGACGCATGGGGTGATTGTGTCCCAGTGCCCATGGCCCTAGGTACCTCCTCACTCCAGGGCAGATGTGCCCAGGTCCTGTGGTGCTGTCACAGGACCTACAGGACCCATCTGCTTTGGATGGTTCTCACTTACTTTCTTCTAACTGTTGCTTCTGCATTTTGTAGAGGGGTGTGTGTGTGTGTGTGTGTGTGTGTGTGTGTGTGTGTGTGGCTTAAGCAATCCCTCCCGCCCCCTCAAGCCTCCGCAATAGCTGGATCTTCAGGCGTGAGCTGCTGTGCCTAGCTTTAAACAGAATGGATTTTCCCCAGCCCTTTAGGAGAATTTTTTTCAAGTTAAAGCAGTGGCTTTTGGATCTGTTTTTTCTTTAAATCCTGGAACTTAAAAAAAAAAAAAAAAAGTCTTAGAGTCTGATTATATAAAACCAATCAAACCTGGAACTGCTTTTCTCAGAATGGGTTGGGAGCCCCCAGAACCCATCCTCGCTGCTGCTCTTGTTTGAAAACCGCTGCTCCAGGCTCTCCAGACATTTGCTCCTCCCTCTTACCATCTTGTGTCTTAATAGAGAGCTGGACGGTAGCTCCAGGGACTCTTTCCCCTTAGTCACTGGATTGCAGCGCAAGGAGGCTCTTGCTGGGGAAAGGGCCCCTGCAGGGTCGCAGGGGTGGGCATGGCACAGAGCTGTGTCCGGGGAAACCTGGCCCAGCTTGGCCCCTGTGGTGGGGGGAGGCCGGGCTCTTCCTGCTCCACGCACGTCCCTTCTGCTGCACATGCTGTTCACATTGGTCTATTTTGCAAAGTGAGAGGACTTCTCAAGGGTAGTCATCCCATGTGTTGAAAGCCAAGGGGACTGGGAGGAGGAGTCACTTCAGAGCCCGCCACTGACGGTCTGGTTTTCCTGCCTCCATGGTGGGGTGACAATGTTTCCTCAGTGTTTTATTGTGAATGGAGCAGATGAACAGATGATCTAGAAAGTGTTTCTGATTCTCTGCGAATTTATTGCAAGTGAAGGATGCCGGTCACCGTCCTGACGGCCCGTGGGCAGTGCGCCTGTTGTGACGGGGTTCGTTGGTGATTTTGGGACCGAGTTTTGTAAACTGTCTCCTACCTTTAAAAACATTTGAATGGTGTTTCTCTTCCTTTCTTGTCCCCTTTTGACTTTTTTTTTTTTAGCTTGCTTGCCTTTTGTTTTAGCAGCTGCAGTATCTCGGAAGAAAAAACGAAGGATGGGAACCTATAGCCTGGTTCCTAAGAAAAAGACCAAAGTGTTAAAACAGAGGACGGTGATTGAGATGTTTAAGAGCATAACTCATTCCACTGTGGGTTCCAAGGTAAGAGGCCCGTTTGAGTGACTTGCCACATGTGTGTGGAAATGGGTTTCTGTGTTCAGGGCCTGGTTATCAGTCTGGTTATCAATTTGGGTGACCTCAGTCTCCGGGAAGGTGCCAGGGCTCTAAAGCTCCTCTGCCATAGGGGCACGGTGTCCGTGTCTGAGGTCATTGTGGGGACTCCTCCCTGCCCTCCTTGCCAGGGGCATGGTGCACGGTGCACAGTGTCCGAGGTCATTGTGGGGACTCCTCCCTGTCTTCCCTGCCCTCCCTGCCCTCCTTGCCACAGTCCACCTGCCTGCCGGCTCTTCTCCAGGTGGCAGGGGCGCCTCTTCATGTGTCCCCGCCTCCCACAGGCCCGTGCACCTCCCAGTCACCCAAGACTCCTCAGGGAAAGCAGGTTTGTTCACCGTGCGCACTGGTCCTGCCTTCGGGTGTACACCTGTCCGTGTTCTAGGGGGAGAAGGACCTGGGTGCCAGCAGCTTGCACGTGAATGGGGAGAGCCTGGAGATGGACTCAGACGAGGACGACTCAGAGGAGCTCGAGGAGGATGACAGCCACGGCGCGGAGCAGGCGGCCGCCTTCCCCACGGAGGACAGCAGGACTTCCAAGGAGAGCATGTCGGAGGTGGACCGCACCCAGAAGGTAGGTGTCGCTGTCTTGAGTGGCAGCATGAGGGAAGGTGATCACAAAGCTGACCGTCGTTCTGAGAATTAGCAGTCTGCTCACTTCTAGTCTCTAATAAAATCCCCTGTTTACAATTGACTTAGATTTTTGTATTTTATTTTTCTTGAATTATTATTTTCATTTAAGAAGTATTTGTCTTTCTGTACATCATTCATTGAAATAAACCTCTTGTTTTTTTCTGTATTTTCTTTCATTCTTTTTTTGAGACAGGGTCTTGCTCTCTGCAAGCTTCTGTCTGATAAGTTATTCTAAAACTAGTAGCAGGAGTTCAATTCAAATAGTGACTTATTTGAAAATGTATAATTTTATTGGTTAGTTTTATACACTTTCAATCAGCTTTGTGTGCTATGGGTATATCCTTTCACGTATACAAAGCATTTTCTATCGTTTGTCAGAGTTTTGGGGATGTGTTTTCTTTCTTTGCTTCAATTTCAAAGTCTGTTGTACATTTTTAGCAGGTATTAGGGCAACTTTATAAATGTTGCTCCCAGCTCTTAGCTTGATTATTAAAAAATTAGTGAGAAATGTTACCATTAGATATTTAAAGAGGATTTTAACATTTTTTATTTTAAGATAATTAGTTTTTTCTCCTTTTGTATGAAGAATCATGAGGAAGAAAACAGCATCATCACCCCTTGTTCTGGTGGCTCTGGTACTCTTTGAAGTAGTCACTACAGTAACTTCCTTGGATGTGCCCAACACAGCCCGGTCCTTTGAAGGACAGGCGGCCCCTACTGCACGGGGAGCGGCTCCGTGTTAAGCCCCGGCCCCAGCCACATCCCTCGGTCTCAACACAAACATGCCTGTCACTCTTTCGCACTGTTCAGCTGTGTTAGGCTCCATTCTGTCGAGTGACAAGCAGTGCTTCCGGGGCATTCAGGGTCATGGCTTTGCTGAGTGTGTTCATGGCTCATCAGTGCTGTCTGCATTTACAATGTAGCACTTGGATGTCACCAGGCCACCTCTGGGTGTATCCTCCCACCTGCAGAGACCTGAGGGGGCGGTTTCCTCACCTTCCCCAGCAGGGCTGCCTTCTTGGGAGTGCAGCAGCTCTTCACTGCTGAGTCACGCCTGGGGCTGAGCAGCCACCTGCGTTTGTTCCTCTGTAAGCAGCTAAGTATCCCTTGCTCATTTTTTCTACTGGATTATGCAGCCTTTGAACATAGTCTTACGATCTTTTTGTCAATGAAGAGTTGATCTGTTGGCTCCAGAATGAGCTGAGGTTTTTTTCCCCAGGTGGATTTTGGGTTTTCTGTTTTGTTTTTTTATGTTTTGGGGACAGGGTCTTACCCTGTTGCCCACGTTGGAGTGCAGTGGCATGATCACAGCTCAGTGCAACCTCAAAATCCTGGGCCGAAGCGATTTTTCTGTCTCAGCTTCCTGAGTAGCTGGGGCTACAGGCGGGTGCCAGCATGTCCAGCTGACGTTTCTTGTTTTTTCTTGAGACAGGGTCCCACGATGTTGCCCAGGCTGGTTAAACTCCTGGACTTAAGTGAACCTTCCACCTCAGGTTCCAAAGTGCTGGGGTGACAGGTGTGAGCCACCGCACCCAGCTGATTCTGTCTTTTGACTTTGTCTGTAATGTCAGAACCCACAGGTACTAGTCAGCCTCTTTGTGATTTCTGGGTTCTTTGTTCTAATTATGATAAACCTTTCTCACTGATGATTTTGAATAAATTGGTGTACACCATCTCCTAATACTTCTTTTATTTCATTCTTGTATATAAATACTTGATTCCTATAGAATTAAAATGTCAGGTAGACCTGCTCAGAATGGGTGAACTTTATGATGTATTAGTTACATCTCAATAAAGTTTTTAAAAGAAAATGTGAGGTAGGGTCCCAGGGCTTCCCTCAAAATGCTTAGGCAAGGTTTCAACACCGCTTGACTGCTGTTTCTTCCCTTCTCATTTACGGTGCCATGTTTATCATGTATCACGTAGCATATCAGTTTGAGTCTATTTCTAGATTCTTTCTTTCCAGTGAAGTTCTCATCGTCTAGAGGAACTGGACACTGAATAAATAACTCTAGGTATTTGTTATAAAGTAAAACATTAAATGACTGTCAAGGCAAGAAAAGAATCAAGAAACACAAGCAAAACCAAGAAGAAAATGTGGTCAGTGTAAAACAGAATCGGATGGCAGGAGCAGTCCCAACTAGAGGGGCACTGGCGGTCAACAGGAGCCTGCAGATCAGAGAGATTATCAATCAGCAGTGATCGTTTTGTTATGCAGGTGGCTCCAGACAATAGAGAAGGATAGGAAAAGTACACTAGCCCATTTTGAGGCTAAAATATAGGCTGAACTCACCTAAATCCTAAATATCACAAGTCCTAAATAAGATATTAATCAAATGCAATGGCACATTAAAATAATGATTGGAAGGAAGTAGGGCTTACCCCAGGATAAGAGTGATTCGTTACTAGAAATCTATTATTTAAATAACAAGATTTCCTAGATTAACAGAATAAATGAGAAAAACTACAGAGTATATATGTGTTTAAAAGGTATTTTACGCTTGTAGTCCCAGCACTTTGGGAGGCTGAGGCAAGCAGATCATGAGGTTAGGAGATCAAGACTATCCAGGCCAACATGGTGAAATCCTCCCTGTCTCTACTAAAAATACAAAAATGTTAGCTGGGCATGGCGGTGCACATCTGTAGTCCCAGCTACTTGGGAGGCTGAGGAAAGAGAATTGCTTGAACCCAGGAGGCAGAGATTGCAGCGAGTCCAGATCGCACCACTGCACTACAGCCTGGGTGACAGTGCAAAACTCCGTCTCAGAAAAAAAAAAGTATTTTATAAAGTTCAATCAGCTTTATGTTTTCTGAGTTTGGGAGATTGCTTTATACTTGCATGTAGGACAGTGGGACAGCTCAGCAATGATTAAAGAATTACATACCTGTATGACCACCACCCAGATGAAAGCCTTGAATTTTACTGGCACTGCAGAAGCCCACCTAACTCCCATCCCCAAAAGTAACCTCTTTCCTGAGTGCTAACCCTACATGATTGTCTTGTCTGATTTTGTTCTTTATATAAATGGAATTACACGGTATGCGTTCTTTTTTTTTTTTTCTTTGAGTGTGGCTTCTTTTACCCAACATTATGTTTGTGGGATTTATTGATATTATTAGTTAATTTTCATTGTTATGGAGTAGTGGTTTTCAGAGGGGTCTGGGTGGGGGCTTTCTGAGACCTGTTCAGAGAGTCTGCAGATGAAAACTGTTGTAACAGTGCTGAGGTGTTGTGCGCCTTTTTCATTCTCATTCGTGGGGTTGCATGTGGTGACCGCTTTGCTGCGGTCGGTGGCTGACTTTGTGCCCTTGTAGTTTGAACATGTCTCAGCTTAAATCTCTACTACAGTACATGCATTAACTAATGTTAACACATGCTCTTTATGGTTCTTGGTGCTATTTTAGAGCATACGGGGCCTGAGGCGAGGGGGGCCATGCAGGATTCCTCAGTATGACTGCTCCTGTGTCTATATCTGCCCCACTGTAGATGGCCTATGGGTGGTCCAGTGGGGGCGTCCTGGAGGTCACCGCCAGCACCCCTCATGCAGGTGTTTTCCTGGGGGCCCACTGGGAAGGGAAGCGCCGTGCCTTGTGCCGGCCTCCATGGACACTGCCGTGCAGCTCCCCACGCCTAGGAGCGTCTCCTCTGCCGTGCCAGCCACGCTCAGTGCCTCCACTCCAGTGAGCAGATAACGTTTTCACTTTGATTTGCATTTTCATGGTTTGCACGAAGGTTGAGTACTTCTTCACATGCTTATTTTGCCATTTGGATGCCTTCTGTGAAGTGCCTGTTCACACTCCCGGCCATACGGATGCCTTCTGTGAGGCGCCTGTTCACACTCCCGGCCATTCGGATGCCTTCTGTGAGGCGCCTGTTCACACTCCCGGCCGTTTGGATGCCTTCTGTGAG